CACACTGTAGGGATTCTATGATGATGATCTATGATCTATGACTCTTACTGCCCTTTGGGCAGTTAGGGATGGGCAATAAATGCTGCCTCGCCAGCAACACCCTCATCCTGTTAATGAGGAAAGGAAAAAAATATTAAAGTGCTTTCGTAAGTCCTAACTTTTGGAAAGTCACTGTTCAAATGTAATAATAATTATGTTGTTAAAGGATAGTCTAGCGAGTTCTGTGAAAGATTATCAACTGAAACATTATTTAATTTAACAGGGGTAATAGGGGTTTCACCTGGCAGCAAGGGAACCAGCAAAGGCTTCGTGTCACACTGTTGGGGAAGGCCCACTCTGTTAAATACCTATCAGGAAACTCAGAGGATAGCAACTCTCCACTGCAGGCAGTGATAATGGGACAGATGCTGGTAATGCACCTACCAGAGATGCAGGATCATCAACTGACCTGGGCCTCAAGTGAGTGCAGGTAGGTTGGAGGTCACAAGGAGGGGAATCAGAGGAAAATTCAGAGTGGTCGGTGGATCAGAGGCAAAGGCAAGGGAATGGATCTCAATCTTCCCCAATTCCTGATGGCCAGGTTCCTGGCTCAAACAAACTGACAATGAAGGACTCCTGTCACTGCCCCAATCAAACCATCATACCCAAAAGGGGTTGTATTTTGGGCTTTTTGTGCACCCATTCTGCTGGCTGCCATTGTTTGAACAGCTGCGATAGCAGGAGCAGACACTCAAGTGAAAACTCATTTCCCATCTATTGTCATCTGGGTGGGAAGGCACTCCACGAGCTTCCTATCCTGGATAAATTGTGCAGAAGCAGAAAGATGGCAGAGTCCCACAAAGCATGTTCCCTCCCCAATCTCTAAATATGCCACTGAGCTGCATTAAATTCCTCCTGTTAATTTTGCCTCTCTATGGATGCCGCCTCATCTGCTCAGAATTTCCAAAGCATTTTAAGGAAGGAAAACAAAGAAATCAAAAAGTTCCCCGTGATGAATTCATTGAAGAGTAGTGGGGAAAAAAATTGCAGTGCTGTTAGCATTGTTTGGCTAATAAATTGGAACTTTGCGTTATTTTTGAGCTAGTGGTCATTATTAATGACATTTATCCCAGCTGTAAAGTCAATGGATAGGCCATGGAAGTGCAAAAATAAATCAGAAGTGCTATTACAAAATATTGGAAACCATTTATTGGATAATGTATTTATTAGTAATGTTACAGTAATAAATACATTTCCAACATCTGAATAATATGGTCATAATTCTATACTGTTTATATCACAAATATGAAGTCACATATGAAGTCTCAAAACAGGACTCAAAACTTGAGCAAGTTTCATCAGTGAACAGATTCAGCATACAAAAGGGAAGCAATGACTGCATGTACTTATTAATTCTGTTGGATCACGCTGTCAACTCCAAAAATCCTTTTATACCATTAATAAAAATTCAAAACCAAAAATAAATGCTTACATTGCTGTTTTGAACCTGATCTTAAAGAAAAGTCACGTGTTAAAATAGCTACTTGAAGCAATATCATTACAGGGTCCATAAAAGCCAAAACCTCTTGAAATGATTGTGCCTTGACATGGTTAATATGTTATAATGCTGTCAAGCAGATCACCAGGCAATACAATCTGCATCTGCACTACAGAATACCACCTTGTCTATCATAAGAACAAATTACTGGGGAATACTGCCGAAAATCTGAAAAGAAAACAGAAAATACTGACAAGAAACTCATATTAAGCCGTGGCTGTGAAGAGAGAAACAGTTTTAGGTCAACAATCTTTTGTCAGAACTCACTCATTTACTGTTACATTGGCCCAGAATTTGCTGGAGTTGGGAATTTGAGGTAAGCACCACTGAGTTCCATTAATTTATTTATTTATTGTTTGAAGCGTGAGCTACTAACATAAAAAGGAGTTGAACTGGACATCTGGAACATTGCCAAGTAATGGCACTAACTAAATATAAAAGGACTGGAAGGAAACAGCAAATGGTCAGCAAAGGATACGTGAATTAATCAAATTCAATAAAGAAAAGGTAGAGGATAAGAAAGTTAATGTTCAGAAAGGAGGAAAGTATGATAATATAAATATTTAAATGTTAAAAGTTGTGGGGAAAATGATGTACTTTTTGCAAGAGTTCACAGTTTTAATTTGTTCCCTTTTTGAGCCTCCAGGGTTCAGTGACCTTCCAAGACTATAAATCACCCAGTTCGCCTTGAAAATGCAATACTAACTTTCAACAGTAACAATTCATAATCATGGTGCAAATCCAGGAACTGCTTAATACTCAGTGGACTGGTTGACAATGTGCTTCTGATCTAACAAGTCAAATGGTGGAGTTGGTTTAATTTCCAAGCAATGTCTGGGTGATTTAAAATCCATGCCATAGTTTTGCCCAGCAATAAATTGCTTAGGATGGAGAAGCTTCTTAAACTTGCTGTTAAACTGAGTGCCCCAAGAACTCTCCACTATTTTTCCAGCTAATTCTGGACCAAAATAGATTTTATCTTGGAATGCACTGAATGTGCTTCCTGCTGTTCAGCATTTGGAAAGTCGTACAATATAATCAAGATATTGTCCCAAGGCAACTGAATACCTTAAAGAGAAAGCAGACTGTAGAATTTGTATAACAGAACCCATTAAAATCTAACACTGAAGTGTTTAACAATGAATCATTTAAGAATTTAAAAAGGAAATGGATTGTTCAGCTTCCAATCACTTGAAAGAACTGTTGGAACTGTTCTTGGGGCACTCAGTTTAACAGCAAGTTTAAGAAGTTTCTCCAACTGTTGGAATACAGTGTGCAATCTGGTCTCCCTGCTATAGGAAAGATGTTGTGAAACTTGAAAAGGGTTCATAAAAGATTTACAAGGGATGTTGCTGGAGTTGGAGGGTTTGAGCCAGAGGGAAAGGCTGAATAGACTGGGGCTATTTTCCTCGGAGCGTCGGAGGCTGAGGAGTGACCTTTTAGAGATTTATAAAATCATGAGCGGCATGAATAGGGTAAATAGGCAAGGTCTTTTCCCCAGGTTGGGGAGTCCAAACTAGAGGGCATGGGTTTAAGGTGAGAGGAAAAATTTAAAAGGGATCTAAGGAACAACTTTCCTCACACTGAGGGTGGTCCATATGGAATGCGCTGCCAGAGGAAGTGGTGGAGGCTGGTACAATTACAACAATTGAAAGACATCTGGATGATACATGAATAGGAAGGGTTTAGAGGGATATGAGCCAAATGCTGGCAAATGGGACTAGATTTACTTTGGATATCTGGTCAGCATGGACAGTTGGACCGAAGGGTCTGTTTCCATGCTGGATACTTCATTGACTCTGACTCTATAACTGCTTGTAGGGTTTATGAACAGTGATGCTTCTGATGAAGGGTCTAGACCCGAAACGTCAGCCTTCCTGCTCCTCTGATGCTGCTTGGCCTGCTGTGTTCATCCAGCTCTACACCTTGTTGTCTCAGTGATGCTTCTAACACCAGTTGGAAAGAAAGTCAGTACATGGATGAAAAGTGGCTTGGGTAGTAATGTTGAAATGGGAATTATCACCGCTGGCCCTTGAAACAAAGTCGAAGGGCAAATCAGAAGAAAAAAATCAATAACAGCAAAAGACCTGAAAGCATCAAACCACTTTTGGAAATGGATCCGCCAAACAGACTCGTATAGAAATAATGGCCGTATTGAACTAACAATGAACACGTCGATTTGTCTCGCCAATGACCAAATAACTAAACTAACAATCTAGCAACACAACTGCAGGCTCATAGAACTCTTTCCCTAACATAACCTATCGATTTTTTTTAAGTTTCCCATCCCAATTGCTTAAGAACAGGGGAACCTCACTTTCTGGGTATCTCTGGTAATACACACTGTTGGTTTACAGCCGCAGAACTTCTTCCTAACCGGTCGTATTGCGAAAATATTTGCCTACTCGGCTTTCCGATCCAGTTGCCCGTGGAGATACACTGGGGGAACCGCTGGGAACATCTTTCTGTGACCCACACTCGCTGACCTGGGTCCCTCTCTCAAGCTGAATTTACCAAATTAGAGGTTGCTGTTAACGTTACAAAAAAGACCGTTCCATCGGATAAACGCCATGTTATTTTAAATAACTATCATCTTGCGTTTATATTCAGCGAGCGTGCTTTGAAATTGCTGAATATCACATTCTATTTGCATGTATGACCATCTGAATAATTTAACAAAACTGTCTTTAATCTTAAAACAGGAGCCTCTCTCAAATATTGACGGAATATCAGCATTGATATTTTTTTGAAAAAAATAGACTACTGCTATATCATTTGCAGCGCGTTTTATTAGTTACTTTCGACCTCGAAACTTACAGGATGTAACATCCTGGAAGATGTATCAATACGAGGGAGATTCCAAAAATTACAACATACAAAAGGCAACACTTTTGCACTTAAAATAACGAACGGGCGATGGAGAGAGTAAGTGATTTAGCGAAAATGTAGAGGGGAGGAATTTGAAAAAAAAATCACTATCAACGGGACAGAAGGATTTCAGGAAGATCTTTAAAATGCGTTATACACCCTAACGCATCTAATGGTTGTAAAGTGAAACTCTACAAGATGCATGTACGTTGCGAAAAGCCAACTATAAACTGAAGTTTAAACTGAAGAAATTACAGGACCCAGCTAAGATGTAAGACACTAAGTTATGGGAGGGGATGCAACAAACTTTGATAATACTGATATACGTAGGCAACGCCTTTAACCAGAAATGCAAAGCATAAACCGTGGCTAATGTGTGAGTGGGTGCTGCAAGACTTTTTGGAAGCTAGGTGTATTAACATAATCTTAAATCTGTAATGTCACAAACCTCGTCAGGGTAAGTTTCAAGCCACGAAAACTCACCACTCAGCATGCTACAAAGAAAACCCATTCAAATGAACGGTAGTTAACTAAAGGACCAAGCACACTGATCGGTAACTTTGAAATATAAGAATTTTATGTACATGTGTATTACCTTTCTCTGGATTTTGATATTATAGATTTTGTCCAAAGGTACACTTTCACCATGCAGTTGCAAAAACACACAAAACCCTTGGAAGTACATCCTGGCCGTTTTAATTGAAATACAACGTATTTGACTTGAAGCATCCTCGCTGCCCATACTCTGCTTCAACCTCTCCTCCTGCTGCTATTGCAGTCTGAACACTAGCTTATATCTGGAGGCGGGACTTGGCTCATTCGCTCGGTGGTTGGTCCGTCCTTTACCTTTTCACTTGGTTTGATTGGCTCTCTTACCCACTCCTTCCTACCATTGGAATTGTATGAAACGAAACGTGTGCAGTTCCTTTCTGCAAACTGACATTTGCTGCAATGATCCTAATCATACACATCTCAGTGCAGAAGGGGCTGTAACACAGTGCTGAGAAAGATGACTTGAAGAGTTTCATCAGTAACAATTGAGCGGCATATCTGCAAGTATGGTGCTGGTGCGATGCCTAGATTACAAAGTAGGGAAAGTGTCGCACCCAGCGTCCCCTGACGAAATATTCAAAGTTGTTGAGCAGAATGTCAAAAATACACTGCATTTTCAGCAAAGTCTAAGTGGACTTGTGCTGTACTATATATTTTTGAGGTTTATTAGGAATTCACGGTAGTGCGTTTTACTAGTTGGTTTGTCATGTAAATGATTGGAATACTAAACGAAGATTCGACCACACGTTTGTGTCTAAATGAAAACACGCTGATTTTAAATGATTCATTAGGAAGGATCAATGCTTTGTCACATAATCCCATCACTAGCCTTAAAAAAAAACACTTGGGGATTATTGTAGCACACTTTTAGGTTGCTGTTACTTTTAACCAACACCTTTTAAAAGCAAAACAGCGCATCAGCTTCCTATTTACAGAAGATATGTGGCAGCTCGTCATAACTATTTGATGTTTCAAGCGCCACAGATTCGAAACCGAGCTTTATTGTTTCAACTGGCCCTATGCAGTAAATGTAGTGGCTTTAATAAAATGGAAACAATGTTGTTTGCAAAATGAGCAATGGATATCTAATTTCAAGAACTATGGGTGATTGAAAGTTAATCATTCAATATTATTGGATGTAATCAAAAACAAATTTTATATCACCTATTTAGGATGGCTAATGTCCATCAGCAGGCCCGCTTTAAAATGTCAACATTTGCTTCTGAGGTCGAGTTGGCCAGAGATCATCATGCAATATTGTTTGTTACAATAAAAAGAATGTTTGTTACAATCCTTCCTTCCCACCTAACAGTAGTTTACAAGAGTGGCTAATCATTTTCCTATCTCATCAGTATGAAAACCATGCTTTAGAACCGATGTAAAGATTTTGGAGAGTCTGCAGGGTATATTTAACAGAATGTTTTGGGCTCGAGGAATGTCATTTAATGGAGAGACTAGTACTTTCTCTGAGAAGAGTTGAAAGAATTTTTTCTGGAAGAGTTCAAAATCATGAGGGGTCCAGTTTTGCAGAAAAACCAAGAACTGCAAAAGTCTGATTGATTACATGAGGATAAACCACTTTACACACTGGTTAGAATCAAGAATCCACAATCTGAAAGTGTGGCAGAGACACAGAGACAATTGTATTTAGAAAACTGGATAAACACCAGAAGAAAGAAACAAAGGTGAAATAACTTGGCATCCCATCAGCAAGTAACACTTTATTTACATGTGGAAAGTTCGGGACACTGAGCCAGCTCTCAGAGTGTCAGAATGAATAATGCTCCTCTTTTTATCTGTCAGCCACAGCTCCCCAGTTGGACCAGATTAGCAGCCCAATCAGGGACCTCATATTAATGAGGTCCAACTGGCTGACCTCATAACAATCATTACAAAAAGGACAGCTCTGGGAAAAAGGATTGGGATGAACAGAGTTCTTGCAAAAAGCTAGCATTAACACAACAGGTCAACTGGCCCTACTGTAACATTTCAATGACTACTTCGTTTAACAAAATTCAGTTTTATACCTTGAATAAAAAGTTAGTTGATCATATGTACACCTGCCAAAAATCTTAACCATGGAGATATCGAGACAATGAAATGAACTAGAAACTAATTTTGTAGTATGTGCAGTCGTGAGAAAGATGCAGTGGTTTTTGTCAAGGTTCATCCTGAGCAGTTCTGTGACGCAGAACTCTTGCTGTATGGTGTGTTCCCCAGGACGCACACTGAGACAAACATCAACTGCTCCTGGGTGACCATCAGCTCAGTGAAAGGCGCTCTTTGGTTTGCCCGAAACTTGTTGGTGTTCCAGAGCAAGAAGCTGGCATCAACCGAGTGTTGCAGACTGGCACATTCCAAGGTGCAGGACAGTGTGCTTGGGGCAGCTGCCACCAAGGCACAGTGGGGAAAGACCACCATCTAAGATCTTTCTGCCAAAGTGAAACTGGGTCTGAGCAGTTATCAGACCCTCTCAGTGCCTCAAATGTACGTAAATGTATTATTGTATAAGTAAGAAATGCCTTGGGTTTGTTTGTTCTACATATGTAAAGACTGTGTACAGAATCAAACTGCTTTAGTGACTATGTATGTATATAAAGTTTTTTTATGAGTAAAGAATATTTTTGAAATAGAAAATGTATGTGCTATGCTGAGGAATTACAAATCCAATAAGCCCTTAGGCATTTGTCTCACCCCAGAGCCATGGTGAGCACAGACCTACTAAGTAAAGCAGTAACTACCTTACTGGGCATTGGTAAATATGTACAATACCACTTTGCACTTGCAATCTGACTATACTTCAAAAACATTGGCTTTGTAAGAACATAATGCATGATTGGGGTTCTTGTTGTATAGTGGTATGGTCCCTACCTCTGAGTTGGGAGATCCAGGTTTATGTCCCACCTGCTCGAGAGCTGTGTCATAGCATCTCTGAACAGATTGATTAAAAGGTATATAGTGGATAATTGATTCTTGCTTTTATCAGTCATATAACAGACCAATTAAATGAACTTCGTTTCCAAAATGTAGAATCCATATGGGCGGAGATACAAAATGAAAAAGGGAAAAAGACACTAGTAGGAGTAGCCTATAGGTCCCCTAGCAGTAAGTATACAGTAGGATTGAGAATAAATTAGGAGATAATTAAGACATGCAAAAGAGGCAGAACATTAATCGTGGGTAATTTTAATCTTCATGTTGTTTGGGAAAGCCAGATTGGCAAAGGTAGCAATGAGGAAGAATTCATAGGGTATATTCAGGGCTGTTCCCTACAACAACATGTTGTAGATTCAGGCAGGAATCATTCAATGTTGAATGTGGGGATGTATAATGAGGCAACTTTAATAAATGAGGAAAAGATCACCTAGCAAACAGCGACCATAACATGGTAAAATGTGCCAAACTTAAATCAGCGTACTTACAAAGGAATAAGGGCAGAGCTAACTGGGTGAACTGGGAAAGAGTTTAGCAGCAAAGGTGATTGAAGAAAAATGGCAGACATTTCAATTATTTTTGAATCTTATTTAGTCCAAAAAAAAATAGTATGTGGCTTTTAGTAAAGATATATCCAATTGAGGAAGAAGGATTCTAGGAAGGGGAAATGTCAACCATGGTTAACCTGGGAAGTTAAGGGTAGCATAAAGTTGAAAAATAAAAGACTTACAATTTGCAAAGATTAGCCATAAGCCAGAGGATTGGAAAAGTTTTAAAAACCAACAAAAGATAACAAAAAAAATAAGGAGAATATAAATTTTGGGGGTATGCTGGCAAATAATATCAAGATGTGCTGCAAGAGCATCTTTAAATGTATTAAAAGGAAAGGAGAACCCAAAGTGAACATACCCCCCTTAGAAAACGAGGCTGGTGAAATAATAATGGGGTACCAGGAAATGGCAGCAGAGTTGAATAAATATTTTGCATCAGTCTTCGTAGTACAAGACACTGATAGCATTCCAAGAATACTAAATACTCAAGGGCAAAGAAGGAGGAGAGGAAGTGAGTCCAATCAGCATAAATAAAGAAAAAGTACTGCAGAACCTAATGGGGCTAAAAAACAATAAGTTCTAAGAACAAATTGAATGTATCCTGGGATGTTAAAGAAAATAGCTAAAGACATAATGGATACACTGGTAGTAATCTTTCAAGAATCAACAAGTATTGGAAGTGTCCCAGAGGACTAGAAAACTGGCACTGTAGTACATTTATTTAACAAAGAAAGAAACAAAAAACAGGCGACTGTAGGCCAGTTAGCTTATAATATCTGTTGAGGGGCAGCACAGTGGCACAGTTGTTAGCATGCTGCCTCATAGTGCCAGGGACCTGAGTTGAAATCCAGCCTTGGGTACCTGTGTGGAGTTTGCATGTTCTCCTCATGACTGAGTGGGTTTCTTCCAGGTGCTACGGTTTCCTTCCACAGTCCAAAGATGTTTAGGTTAGGGTAGACTGGCCATGGTAAATTGCCCATAGTGTCCCAGGATGTGCAGGCGACATGGATTAGCCATGGGAAATGCAGGGGTACAGGCATCAGGTCAGGGGTGGGTGTCTGGATGGGATATTGTTCGGAGGGTTGGTGCAAACTCAATGGGACAAATGGCCTTTTCCACAATGTAGGGACTCTATGAAAAAAAATCAGTTGATCGGAATGTGTTAGTGTCTATTATAGAAGAAGTAATAGCAGAGCATTTAGAAATACATAACATGATCAAGCGGAGTAAACATGACTTCACAAAGGGAAAATCATGCCTCACAAATCTCTTAACATTCTTTGAGGAGGTAATAAGCAAGGTAGATAAAGGGGAAGCTGTGGATATTTGGATTTTCAAAAGACATCTAATAAGGTACTACATGTTAGAATATTTAATAAGATGAGGTCATGATATTGGAGGTAGTATATTAGCATGGAAAGAGGATAGACTAACTTGTTTAAGACAGCAAGTTGGGGTAAGGGTGGCATTTTCAGAATGGCAGATTGTAAGTAGTTGAGTGCCACAGGAATCAGTGCTGGGGCCACAATTATTTATAGCATTCATTAATGACTTGGATGAGGAAGTGAACATACTGTAGCCAAGGTTGCAAATGGCACAAAAATAGATGGGAAGGCAAATGGTGAGGATGCTCTGGTTTTTATAAAGCAGAAAATTTTCATTCAAATTATTTTTGGATCTTATTTAGTCCAAAAAAAATTCACGAAG